ATTACTTTGTATAAACATAATATCGTGAGTCTATTTATAGATAAATTTATTACTTTGTATATACATAATATCGTGAATCTATTTATAGATAAATTTTTACTTTGTATATACATAATATCGTGAGTCTATTTAGAGATAAATTTATTACTTTGTATATACATAATATCGTGAGTCTATTTATAGATAAATTTATTACTTTGTATATACATAATATCGTGAGTCTTTTTATAGATAAATTATTACTTTGTATATACATAATATCGTGAGTCTGTTTATACATAAATTTATTACTTTGTATAAACATAATATCGTGAGTCTATTTATAGAAAAATTTATTACTTTGTATATACATAATATCGTGAGTCTATTTATAGATAAATTTATTACTTTTAACAAACATAACAACGTGAGTCTATTCATAGATAAATTTATTACTTTGTATATGTATAATATCGTAAGATTATTTATAGATAGATGATTACTTTGTATATACATAATATCGAAGTTTATTTATAGATAGATGATTACTTTGTATTAAATTTATCTATAAATAGACTCACGATATTATGTATATACAAAGTAATAAATTTACCTATAAATAGACTCACGATATTATGTATATACAAAGTAATAAATTTATCTTTAAATAGACTCACGATATTATGTTTATTACTTTGTATATACATCATATCAACTGTATCAACTGGTATGTTGTACATTACTCTGTGTCAACTGGCACGTTATTTATTAATCTGTGTCAACTGGTATGTTGTATATTACTCTGTGTCAACTGGTATGTTGTATATTACTCTGTGTCAACTGGTATGTTGTATATTACTCTGTGTCAACTGGCATGTTGTATATTACTCTAAGTCAACTGGCATGTTGTATATTACTCTGTGTCAACTGACACGTCATTTATTAATCTGTGTCAACTGGCATGTTTTATATTACTCTTTGTCAACTGGCATGCTGTATATTACTCTGTGTCAACTGGCACGTTATTTAATAATCTGTGTCAACTGCCATGTTGTATATTACTCTGCGTCAACTGGTATGTTTTATATTAATCTGTGTCAACTGGCATGTTGTATATTACTCTGTGTCTACTGGCATGTTGTATATTACTCTGTATCAACTAGTTTGTTGTATATTAAACTGTGTCAACTGGCATGTTGTATATTACTCTGTATC